GCCGTCCGGAAATGCGTATCTGCGGGCCATCCCATGATGTAGTTACTTTCTGGAGACGTCAGGGAGTCTCCCAATCAAAACGGAGTAGTCCGCTCCGGTGCCCACGAGTGCCGACGCGTCGTGGTCGTCGATGACAACGTTGAGGTTGTTGGGCACTTCTGCAGAAGCGTCGCTTCAATGAGTGGTGGCGCAAGAGTGAGAGCTTTACGGCGTTCTTGGAGGCTCTTTCCGTCGTCGGTTTATGGGAGCTCCACCTGCCGGGGTTGCTGCGCATAGTATATCCTGTGTGGTATGGGGGACAGTCTTTGTCGGCGGGAACGGTGAAGTATTGACTCTGGGTGTAACGGGGACGGCGGACGAGATCCTTGTGTGCAGCCGGCTTTGGGGACGGCGAGCGGTGCAGGTACTCCTCGATGCCTCTTGGCCGCTCACCAAGGTGACACGGAGGGTCGTTCGCCGCGAACGCTCGTAGGCCCATCTGGCGGAAGCTGCACCGTCGGTAGACGTGGCCGGCCACTCCTCAGTGGTGGCAGATAGGGCATCGGTTGGCCGTTCCCCACACTTCGGTCTTCCGATGTGCACGGGGCTCCTTGCGGGGGTGTGGGACTTGGTCGTCATGGCATCGGGCATAGTGCTGCGCTGGAGACTCACGTTGAGGCGGAGCCGCCTGTGAGCGAGGTGGTGGCGGTAGTCGTCTGGCCATTGTGGAGTACGACAACGCTGGCTCCTCAGTGACTGCCACGCTGTCTGGAGCCTCTGGTTGGAAGGCTCTCGGTACTTCTACCCGAACCACCTCGCCGATGGAGAGCAAGGCCGGGCGTCCAGCGGTGGGCAGCAGCTTCTTTAGCACTTCCCGTACAACATCGCGAATAATATCCCGAATTCCAGAGAGGCTGGAGCCGTGGTCCAATGCCGATGGCGAGGAAACAGCTGCGCTGAAGTGCCACTGGTAGTGGCTTGCCCTTGCAAGGGTGGCACGCTTCAAGTTAATCACCTCGTCATTGGGTTGCGTACTAGGCGACCGAAGATGTCCTTCGCGCCACGCATCAGAATACGCCGCTTCTTTTCCTGAGTTGTTTGAGGGTCGGCGTTGGAGCTCAGGCACAGGAAGTCTTCCAAAAAGCTCATGACGCTTTTTATTGGGACCCTTAGGCCTCGATTCCAGCAGGTATTCGGCACCCTCTCTTCGGTGTTCACCGGCGAACGTATGCGTTAGCTCGCTCTTGCAAAGGCCCCTCGAAGTCAGGGAAGCTTCGTGGTTTTCGAACCAGCGCCAGGAAGTCTTCCAAAAAGCTCATGACGCTTTTTATTGGGACCCTTAGGCCTCGATTCCAGCAGGTATTCGGCACCCTCTCTTCGGTGTTCACCGGCGAACGTATGCGTTAGCTCGCTCTTGCAAAGGCCCCTCGAAGTCAGGGAAGCTTCGTGGTTTTCGAACCAGCGCCTTGCAGTTCCTTCTACTGGGAAATAGAGGTTCCGCAGGCGCTGCTCGTCACTCCACCCGTTGTGGCGGGCCAAGGGATTTTACTGGTTGATCTAGTCTACGACGCCCTCATAGATCTCGCCATGGAAGCGAGTCGGCGTGCGAGGAGCGACTGGCAGGTAGACAATACAAGAGGCGACCGGGTTCTGCTGGGACATCGTCGTCGTCTTGGTCTTCGACTTCTCGGATAGCAGTCCAAACTCAGGGGGCTGTCCTTGGGTACGGCGACTGGCTATAGTTTCGGGCTCGTCGACAGGAATCAGCTCTCCTGGCCTTCAAAGAGGTCGAGCCCGACAGATATTTTGAGGGGTACGTTTCACTGGCATAGATTGTGGTACTCCGCACCTCCACCAAAATGTCAAGAATAACAATTTATGAGGCGATGAATAACTGAAGATAACTAAAGGTTTAATGGGGCGAAATTGTGCCCACCAATAATTAAAGGGTTGCGTCGCAGGCGGCGTAAGAGCAGGATCGAGCGCTGGAGCGGGACTTAAGGCTCTGTTATACTCCGACGTAACGCGTGCGCGCGTGCGAGCGCGCCACAGCGACGTCACGTTGGCGAAAACCCGACACTCTATACTCCGGCGTCGTGGTGTAACCGACGCGACCGGCGGCGTTCGACACAGCCCGACCGCCTCGACGCCAAAATGGAGCATGCCGTATTCCGCGCCGGCCGCGCCAGCGACGCCGGACCAGGATGCATCACGCGCTGGCTCCCGGTAGCCCTCGCGGCGAATGCGAGCAATAGCAGACGACGGGAGCACCACTCCGTGCGGCGTCATGTTTGAAGAACCGGTACGTCTCGGTCGTCGAGAAGCTGATCGAGGGAATTCGTCCTCACCCGCGTGTCTACGACACGAGGAAGCTTGAGTACCGTAGACCGTGCGCTTGTCAAAGATGTACCGCCTGTACATTGACCGCCTACGCTTGCGGGGCAGGCGGTGCACCAACAGTGCAAGCGCGAGTTTTCGTCGTGCAAGGTACGTCCACGCCATCGCTCGAACTTGGCGCTCAAGAAGCGCTAGAATTCTCGTCTGCTATTCGAAACGAAAAGGAACCGGAAATGGCGCACTCTCGCCGGAAACGCGCCCTCGTAGCCAGATTCTGCGCATGACCCGCGCGGCGTGACTGACGTGACGTAGCCGACTTCGGCCAGCGTTCGCTTGCGCGCGCGTTACGTCGGAGTATAACTCGCCACGCGCGGCCCCTTTTGTACACGCGTGGGCTTCTCGTACAATTGGCCTGGAATGTTCGGCGCGTCGAACATTCGGACCTTGAACAAACAACCAGACATTTATAAAAATAACAAACAATTGCGTCCCCTACCAGGGCCTTTTCCGCGGGGAGCCAAGCGCGCTGCCTACTTGGCTAATTCTGTATGCAGCAATAAGGCGACTATGCTGCTATTACAAAGATGTTAAACGTAAAGCGCCTGTTGCGTCGTGTGTGTATCTTTCTTGTAACCGTTTTGCTCGAACTTTTAACCTTTCATTCAGAGTTTAATTTACGTGCTTCGTTCTTTTTTGGATTAAAAATGTTTTACTGTGATTTTAATATTTTGTGTATAGGTATCAAAATTTTATATAATCAGTAAAAAAACAGTACATGAATGCTTCGATGTTACCTTGGCGGCTGTGCAAAGTATCATAGCAAAGTCTTCGCAATATCCGCGCTTTGAAATATTATATGCCCAGAAGAAAATCACCTATGGTGTTGGCATGTAGCTGATTAATCCCAAGAACATAGTTTTCACATATATTCTTTACATGATATGACATGGAAACAACTTGTAGCAACCCTGAAATTCAAAGGAAAGTCACAGTTTTCAGGAAGCCCAGGCTGCCACCCGATAATAACCGTATAACAATATCAGCCATCCACCCATCCAGTTGTCTATTAATTCTTGATTCTATATGGTAATACTAATTAATGAATATGCCTACGCAGACCGCTAGGTGAACTGGTAGTGGAATGGGCCTTGCGAGCTATGGAAGTGTCTTTCATTCTCACTTATGTATTATACAATTTCCGATATTCCGGACATTGTACCTTCAAAAATAGCTGTGGTGAGCAGGTCATGCTTTCTTTCTATTTGGCGTTATTTTTCGCACTCTGAAATTACGCTCACTTTGGGTGCCTTTGCAACTTAAAAGTAACTACATATGCAGTGTGTTTTAGACCTTAGCATATTAGTTTTACAAACGCCCTGAAAGCTACACGAATGCGATTTTTACAGGTAAGATATAAGGGCGAAGGGGGGGGGGGGGGGGGCATAAGTTAGCAGTATAATCATCGCGATAAATTGGTTGATTAGCTTACACTTGTAAATTAAGAGTATAATTATTATAATAAGCATATAATGCCGGACAGAAAAGTTTTTATCACCATAAAAAGCACTAAATAAGTGAATTAAACAGAAATATGTGGTGCGTGGGAAGCGTGGTGATGCGATACACTTACCTCACGTTCAACACTTAGTAGTGAGAAAATGAGCCGGCACAGTTTTTCTGTTTCTTAGTACCGGCGTCTTCGCAAACCATTGCAAATCTAACGCGCCCCAATTTCTTTTATTTATTTACCTAGTGATTTTATTGATGATCAGAAAATTCCTAATTGAAGCCATATGTTTATTAATAAAAAGATTATTCACATATTTCAGTTAATTATTCGATTTATTACGATTAGCCTTTCATATGATGTCCCCCTGGCCGTGTAACTATCTGCTCAGACAGCATTAGTGTAGCATTCGATGTTATTGTTTGTTTAAACAAATCTGTATGGCCGAAAAAGACACCCTGTATAAAACGTTTTTGTAAGGTAATCACAACATTCGAACGAAAAATTTAAGAAAACGAAACTTTATTCTTAATTGTGTCAGAAATGAATACCTTCAGAAATCTTTCAATCCGGTGAATGCTTGCTTGGTGTAAATTGCAATACTGCAACCCAAAGTAAGTTCCAAAATGATATTGATATCTAAATTACTTTAAAATTTATGACGCGAATATCTAATCGGGTACTGTACTTGTTTAGTTACCTGTCACTTCACCTTAATAGAACCTACTTGTTCTTACAGGGTAGTTAGCAATCTAAATTTCGTTTCCAAAGAGGCGCCTTCTATTACTCAGTTCATGACCCAAGTGAATTTATTGTTGCTGCTGGCACGTTGATTGACATATTTCGTTATATATAACATAACGTTATTTTGCAGACATTCCTGTTTATATATAGCTTTCAGCTTGATTTAGCCAGAAGTAATTTTACTCTTGAACCATTTCTTTCTCACTTTATACTTTTACGGTTCAATAATTTCTAATTAATAAATACCAGATACCCATAAATTTTTATCTTTTCATGATCGTCCCCGAAAATAATTTATAATCTTATATCTCTACTGCACCTATAAAATAATCAAGGAAATCAAGCAAAGCTACAAATTAAATCAGCAGCTAAAAGGACAAAGTCGGTCGTCATGGACTGAGCAGCTTCGTCATAGACGAAAGCGACACACAAATTAGTAATTTTTAAAACAGTTTATTTCTTTAGCCCATTTACTGTGGCTTCAACTTGGACAATGATAATATCAAACAGGATGTCAACTCAACAAAACAAACGAAGCATGCAACCAATGTTTATAATATAAAAACACGGCCAGCTCGCATGTCACATAGAATAAAACACCGGCCTCCAAGAAGCACCGAACAAAAAGAATGTTAAACGGATCCATCACAATGAACATTATAGTCCGTTAGAAATAAGTACCCAGAGCTCATTGCTTTTATTATTACATCAGCACTCTTCTTGTCTTTGTTGGAAGCAACATTGCAAAGGGCTCTTTTTGATTTTAGAGTTTAAACATGCTTTATTGTTTTCGTTTGTCTCGCTCGTTTCTTAAAATGACCGGAAGTCATCGACCTCAGAGCTTGACAGAGTTGTTCGTCGTGAAGAGTTGGATTCTGTAAAAAAAGAAAAAAAAAAAACATTCACGTATTTTTTTTTTAATAATTAAATATAGCTTGATTTCCGAAAACGAAAGTGTTAACACGTCTGCTATACGTCTCGCTGATGGCAATAAACCTTGAAATTTTTCAGTCTTAAAACGAACTAAACTTCAAAGAAAAAAAAAAACCAGATGACAGAAATTTTGGCCGTTTAAATTTTTGTCTTCAAGATCCAAACACACAATTTGTACCAATAAAGCACAATGGCGCTGTGACAACAAAATATGACGTGCATGTTTACAGTCAACTAGAGGAGATACATTTGTAAAGTCAACTAGCAAATAGTAACAATATATGACTTCTGGCATGGCAGATAAGCAACAGCAAATACACGTATGGTGAACAAAGTCCGACACACAAGATCTTCGCACTACAAAACCAACACGTGGCCTCCTTTTCATTAAATTTTGCTTCGTCAAAAGATTTTATTTCCCTTTCTTTCCTGCATCCCCAACAAACGTCTAATGAATACAAATAGAAGGACAGCTACAAATAGAAGAAAAAAAACGAAAGTGATCATGTATAAACAAAAAAAATGTAGGATTATGATTATTTTTTATTCTGTAAAACTGCTACCCCATTCACTGTAAATAGTAACTAACTTCTTTGAAAATCACATTGAGCCTTTCTAAAGGGTTAACGTTTCAGTGTGTCTGAAAGCGTATGCATCATTAGTGTTTGCTTTGAAAATGCGTTGATGTGGCTTGCAATATGATACCTTTGGCTCCTCTCAAGTCTCGCAAAAGTCAAAAGATATTCCAGTAACGTTACCTAAAGCTATCATAAAAATTTATTTGTAATGTATGTGCTCATTTTATATTTTACCCCTTGGTTTTTTTTCCGCGTTAGTATTATCGATAGAATTAGCGTCTAAAATCTCGAGCTTGTACCCATTAATAACACGTGCTCGTGTTATTTCTTGACTATCAGTCAAGGTTAGGAACACTTTCCTTCAAGGTAATCTCAAATAAACAACTTTAGATTACGATATGATATAGCTTGATATGTTTTGAATAAAGTATCATATAAACATACGAGAATAACGCAATACGGTTTTCCTATTATCGTATGTAGACTATTTTCTATCAGATAGTGATTGCTTTCTCAAGTAATCGAGAGGAAATCTACGCGGCGGTTTTACATTAAAAATAAAAAGGGCTTCAGCCGAAGTTTTCAAGCTATAATTAAGTTAAACGGTGATTGTCTAGCGAAGCTCTATCTTAAGTTGTTTATTCAATTAGCGTATTTCACCAGACCGGTTCTGAACAGTCAGTGGAAGACTGCCAGCCTCCGTTTTGCAAACGTGGGTTTTACAGCGGATAAGAACGGTTCTCAGGACGTTGGTGCCGCTCTTCGGGGTTTCGTATTTTGGTGGCCACTTATTGCGTATATTGTGCCCGAACCAGTAATCTAGATAGCAGTGTTCGGCTCAAGCGTAAATTAAAATTATGATAATGGTTCTCGAGTAAGCATTGATGAAAATGTAATCTTATTTTGGTAATCCCAAATTCAGAAACAAAAATATAAAATTGCTTTCTACATCTTTTGAAATAACTTGTGGATGTTAGACGAATATTAGCTGTCGCGACCGGCTTGAGAGAGAAGGCACATGCGCAGCGATTTGGTAAGATCTGCAAAAAGATTGCAGCTAAATTAATAAAATAAAATAAAATAAACTATTTTAAGTCCGACCTTCAATTCGAACGCATGAAAAAAATGTATGCTTAGATTCTAGCATATATCTTAGCTGTTTTAAAGTAGATCCCAGTATCAAAGTTCCCTACTCTCCATGATTAACTGAAGTGATTGAGTCCCTCGTTGGATGTGTTCACGATATCATTTGTAAATTAGTTTCTAGAGTGTTAATGTTACTCTGTCCTGCATGAAGGTCGGCGTGGGTCGTAAAGAACTGCAAGACCATTTAACTTACTGTAAGAAGTATGGACACGCGCTTTTTTTATATTTTGCCTTCGACGGGTTTCCCACTAATTGCTTAAATTGCATGAGCACATTATGTATTCAGGATTCTTACGAAAGCATTGCATCTTGTAAGATTAATTTTTGTCGCTCATCCTTGAGTTCGAGATCAGCATCATTTAGAGCTTCTACGTTGCCTCCTGGCTAGGCTGAAACAAGACTTATTTACACTTTTCACATCACCGTGTGCGTGGCATTTTAACACGATCAGAAGCGAAGTAAGGGGGTGACCGCTCCTCGGTTTTCTCGTTTGTTTCCTTCAAACTGCTGCCATACTAAGGCAGAAAGAGCTTTTTGCAGCACTTCTGAAAAACGGAAGAGTGCGCGTAAACAACGTACAGCGGTATTCAAGGTATGCCAGCGCACGGGTGTCCAAAGTTTTTACCTTGTGAAAGAATACCGGAATCAGGCCAAACCGTCGCGCCCTTGCGCCTAAGTTCAGAACCAAACCCATGGGAACAACTACATTCATTATATGATTGCGCTTCTGGCGCAGCGCTTGGCGACGTATCCGAACGCTGCGTAAGTGTTGGGCACCTATTCAATCTGTGAAGCACCAACTGAACACGAATTCAATGGGAACGCTGTTCGATATGTACATTGCGCTCAATAAGTAAAAAAGCCTAATTTCATAGCCCTACTAAAAAACTCGAATGCCTTCTTACTTTTTGACTCCTTGATTTACTCTTCCTCTTCTTCCTCTTCCTCCTCTTCCTCCTCCTCTTCTTCCTCTTCTTCCTCTTCCTCCTCTTCCTCTTCCTCCTCTTCCTCTTCTTCTTCCTCTTCCTGCTGCTGGGCGGGCTTCGGCGGCGGGGCGGCGGGCTTGGGGGGCTCCGGCTTGGGGGGCTCGAAGACAGGCACGAGCTCTTCGTCGTCGTCCTCTTCTTCCAGACGACGGATGTGGCTCACCTGCTTGTTCTTAGGGTTCTCGGGGTCCCACTTGGGCAGCTGTCCGCGGGACTGCTCCTTGAAGCTGTTCATCTTGTCCTCCCACATCTTCTCCATCTCGGCGTCCGTCATGGCTTCCAGACCCTGAGCCAGAGCGGACATATAGGGTGCTTTTACTTACGATGTTCAGTCCTTCATTTTGTTGGTGTGAGTTGGCTACTGCATGCAGAAGGTGACACCATCAAATTCCTAGTGCACATAAGCGTATGTCCCATCACGCTGATATGGTGGTTATGCAGAGAGCAAGTCGTCTGCTTCTTGCGCAAGAGTTGCGGTATACGTCGGAATGACGCCAAACTCTGAACGACTTTGATTGGAAGGATAGGGGCTAGATTGCAGTGCCAGATGCATCAAGGTCTACCCACTTTTTTTTTTTCAATCAGCCAATCAGAGCTCAGCGTTGTGACATCATCGCAATCCCGGTGCAAGAAGCAGACGAATTTGTTCTTGAGCGCTCCCCGTCCTTAGGTAGTTCACCGTGCCGCCGCTTCATGACGAAAAAGTGACGCTGTGGCAAGGTTACGGGTGCATTTCTGCTTAAAGGCCGGTTCTCACATGCAGCGAAGCGCTCATGTAGCGCTACTCACGTGTCGTCGGCTACTTATCGTCTGCCATGAGCAACAGTTCAGACGGTGCGATACAAAGCAGGTGAACGCTACCTTGAGCACGCGCTTAGCGCGAGATCAGCGCTATGCTTGTAGCGCTCCGCTGCATGTGTGAACAGGCCTTAAAGGGCCGTTGCGTGAAGCGTCCACTCCGTATTTGTTGTGCACTGAAGTGTTGCGCACGAGAGCGCGGGGTACGAGAGCGTCTCGCACTCCGTGTACTGACGCAGAACGCTCTTCTAGATCCCGCGCATGCTCAAGTGGCACGCGGTAAAGTCCCTGGATAAAATTTATGCTTTCAAGTACCGCCAACCATTGTTGTGGAAACGCGCGAGACACGTGCCGCGAGCGGCTACTGCGCCACAATTCGCTTCCCAGGGCAGCTCATTTTAGTGCTGCGCTGCCATCTGCTTCCAAAGACCACTCGAGACACGGGCCTCGTGCACTGGCGCATTTGGCGGTACTTGCAAGACAAACGCAAGCACATGGAAGGGCTGTAGCACGCGCAGGGTGCCAGAGCCATCGCGTGGCGTCATGAACAAATGCCATGCATTCGATTTTCTGCTCGCCACATCTCTCACTATAACCACCATAAAACTGACATCGGACAACAAGATGGCGGATTGAAGTCACGTGAATGCGCCCTATACAAGAAAACAAAAAGCTGCCGTTTGTCAGCAAATGGCAGCTCACAAAAGGTAAGCATTGAAATATGGAAAACAATTTTTAAAACTACCGTATCTGTCTTTTGTTTCAAACACAGGTTTCGCCATGTCTGCTCACTATACGGGTTTACCTTATGTGCAAACCACAGTGCGATAAAATTAGATGGGCATTATTGTATACTCTCTACTCTCACCCCCCTTTACTAGAAATGCCTTGTTATATTTAAACACCGTAAATATAAATAGCAACCTGAACGTAAACCTTTGGGAGCTTTGCAAGTCGGACTCTTGAAACCAAAAAACAAAAAAATATTTTCTGAATGTTTTATGTTTCCGACGCAGCCGAAAGTATACTGCCTAACAGATCTAGAGTAATAATGACGACTAAGATACCCAGCGGAGTTCGCAAACTGCAAACTGTACGGGCGAAAGGTGTGCTTTGAAACGAGACACGCCTGGTCATTCCTAGATTGAAGATTACCAACTAAGTTGAAAGTTCCTGGTTTTTATTTACACTGAAGACTCTATTAGTTACGCAATATTCTTCGTTGCGAAGCAATAGGAAACACAAAGAATTAGGTACCACTCAAAGAATAGAAAAGCAAGCTTACAACTTGTTTTTATTGCCTTTTTGTTTCTTTTACTTCTGCAGGAAGGGTTTATTTTCGATTTAACTGCGAAAATCTCTGCCCAAAATGTTTCTTTGTGAAGTGATACGTCAAGCTATTTTATTTACCCTCAATTATTCTATTACCATTTCCTTAGCAGAGACGCAAACACGTAACGTTTGCCTGAGGTGTGCTAATTGTATAGGTAGGCGCTTTCGCCAGCATTAGAACCATATACGAGATGCGTTATTTTCCCCGCTTGCCACTTCACAAAACAAGTTAGGCACAATGCGACTACATAAAAGTAAAAATCTTAAAATAACTTTTTGCCATCCTGCGAACAAACAACGTACTGAAACAAACTCCAGCAATGTATACATGTACACATTGCTGGAGTGCACCGCAAGCTCCCCGGGGGCTTCAAACTCCCACTTTGGCCGTACAATATCTATCCGGTGCCCACATGTTTTTCATATCTGACCCACACACAATTATTCAATTGCTGACCCAAGTAAAAACACTTTACGAATGTCATTTCCCGGACTTAGGGGGATAAAGCCAATACCAACGCAAACACACAGACGAAAAACAGTATTTCATGCGTGCCGCTCTCACATCACAGGCTCTCAGAAATGAAAACGCAGGCTTGCCTCGTGGTAGACTGGACTACGAGCAATTCATCTTTCTCCACAAAGAACTTAAACAGTGAAAATGCAAACTAATACAAGTGGTTCTGTTATGAATCCTATCACTTGCAAATCTGTTCAATGGTTGTTACTGAGCGTTTTTTGTTTATTTTGTCTTAAACCTTTTAAGGTATTTATGTTATTTCGTTAACGCTGTGTAGGCGTATAATTAATAGTCGCGGACAGCTTAAGAAACAAAGGTTGTGACTTAATAAATTTACGCTTCTTGCTCCAGAATTTTTTCTTTTGCGTTCTCATTGTCTAACGTCACAGCCGCATTTTCTGCAGAACAATAATTATATACGCAGAAGTCTTCACACCCCGCACCTTTTAAACTGGCAATTACTACCCAGGCTTTCTTTCTGCCCTCCTTGCTTGGATTATTATAATGTCCGAAATATTTAACTCAAAGAAAGAAATAATGTAAAAGTTTTTCTTAAGTCCTCAACATTCTAAGAGCCCCAGGGTGACAGCTGACATTTAGCTAAGATAAGTTTTGTTTTAAGAACCCTGAAAAAGCTACGTATATTAGCGAAGCGTCAGATGCAGCATGGTTATGAATTCCCAATTAAGAATTTTGTCTTGCTTATCGAAGAAAGATCAATGGCTGGTACCTCAAGTGCATCACGAGGCTTCAGGCATGCAGGAAGTTCCTGGATGCACAAGCATGCAGTGCGTGTGGAATCACAAAAAGGGGGTTCGTTGCAAGCACAAGCCCAGATCTGGTCGGGTGTGACCTCAAGTTTCATAAATGCCGATGGGCAGTAAAGTCTCGCGATATTTTAATGGTGGCGATTCATTACTTAGCAAACTCAAGTTATGACATTATGCGACAAGTTAAATTGTTGTAGAAAGATAGATTTAAATCTGGTTGCTCAAATTGTGTCTCGTGTTTGATTCTTCAAAGCGCTGCTCTCAAGTAAGGGTAGAAACACAGTCAAGCGGGTGAACAACTACCGTAACAAACCACAGACCAAGAATGGTTACAAAAAAGAAAAATCATTTGTGTGTTGTGTCTGTTTTTTTTTGTTTTTTTTTGTGTACTGTGTTTTTAACGGACGTTATTCTCAGTTCGAAGCTCTCAAAATGCGTCGTGTTTAGGAGGAGCGAATAATCTTGCTGTCTAAATGAACCATGATGCGTTCTCATAGCCTGCCTTAGTTATTAATTTGGGCACATACGATCATCTGTACTGTGTGGAAAGTTTTACTTTAATATTTTGGTGACGGACGCCAATATACCTATTTGTGCTTCTTGACACTGCGAAGAAAAGAAGAATGTCTGTAAAACCGAAAGTGCGGTAGTAAGTAAGTATGTTAGGACTGTGAAACACCCTCCAGGTTCCGGAAGAAAGTAGTAATTGTGCAACAATCATTAGCTTTCCAAACAAATTAAACTAACTCAACCTTAAATATCCATAACACGCAGGTTATATAATTTTATAGTGTAGAGTTCAAGGTAAGTAATGTAAGCAACATGTCACTCGTACAAAAAAAAGAACAATGCTGGGGCCATAATGACGCCCATCTATGCGAAAGCGCGTAAAATTAGGCGCGTTTACTAGAATTATATTGTCTTCTTTTTTTTCATTCTTTTTGTTAAAGTCACTGTCTACGTCACTTTTCAAGTCATGAGTTTCTAAGTTGTTAATTTGCAAAAGAGTGCATTAGTTCAAGGAGGCCCTAATAGTGTATTTTCCAAGTCCTGGTGGCAACAGGCTTTTTTCTTCTGCTTAAAGTTACGTACACCGGAGAACAGGTCACGCTTGTCAACGAAGGTACGTCGGTCTGTCCTTCGCTCGTATTTGCTGGCAACCTGAATCTTGGGCTGGCGGATCGAAGCGACACCGGCAGTGACGTCACAGCGGCCACGGATTGAGCAACACCGGAAGCGACGTCACGGCAGTGAAGACGACGACGACGAGGAGGAGGGGACAGAAAGAGAGAGAGAGAGAGAAAAGCACGGCACGACACCATGAGCAACACGACACCCTTACTCACGCCGTCGTACAGTTCCCGCTTGTCCTCAAAGGATCGCCGGTCCAGTCGGCGCTCGTACTTGCTCGACACCTGAATCTTGGGCTAATAGCTAGTGTTAGTGAGCGAAAGTCGATACTGTACACTCCGTTTCATCTTAAGATGGATCGCATCTGACGCTACGAGCCATCTGAGCCAACCCTGCTCTGATGAGCGTATCACGTGAGTAGACAACCTCGCACATCGCTGCGCTTCTTCTGGACGTCACGTGATAGCCGGATGGCATTGGATTGGCATCGATGGCTCTTACCGTCCTCCGCGGTTCACCCTAAGGTGAAAATGTGTCTGCACCTGTTTTGCACTACGATATATTGGTTCTATCGAAAATAGGTCGAAGCTTATATTACGGTATTTTATTGCTGTCATTATTCCATTAGAACTATGGGACCTGCGAGTAACTTACAAGTATAAAACATAAGAAATACTTAACAAAGCAAAGAGCACGAGCTCAAAATTGCACTTGTGTAGCAGCCTCCGCATATTCCTCGCTTTATACACACTAGGTATGTCGACCATTTCGGGTTGATAATATAAAGAAGTTATGAGCCTAGGACAAGAAAACATCAACATGTGAATAGAAAGCCGCTCAAAAACTGATCTAAGGTAAATTTGCCGCTAACAGGGTTCAAACCCAAGGTATGTTTTGTATTAGGGTTGCGATGCCGGCTACAGTCCGTTGCAACTCAAGAAGGTAGGGCGAGGGAAAGACGAGCTGGGGAGGAGGAAGCAGAAGGAACGCTGAAGAAGAAAGGGGAAACCTCCTCCTCTCTTTAGCGTTGCGTCTGCTTCCTCCTCCTCGGCGTTCCTTTTTCTCGCACTACCTTCTTGAGTTGCAACGGACCATAGTTGGTCCATGCTTAGTGGATTTGACACAGCGCACAAGAAACGAAGACTAAGTAGAATTGTAAAGTAGGAGGGAGCTTCTGCGTTTCTTTTCAATAAAAACTGCAGTTGAGAGTAAGCCCCTGTATGCACCCTTCTACTTTGTCTTCGTTTCTGTTGCGCTTTGTCGGATCAACAAGGTATGTTTTGAAAATATTTTTGTAGGGTAGTCAAGCTCACGCAAATTATCCTCTTGTTCTTAAGAAGTGGAAACAATGCTCAACAAAACAGCGATTTGTTTTTTTACTCCATCTCTTCGAACATATATTCGGCTCACTATGATGGAATTTCCCTATCTCATATTTGGAGCGGTCATCATGGGTGCGGTAGTACAAATATTGATTTTGCGGCGTATCGCAAATACAAAGCATTCTTCGGTTGAGACTACAAGCTGCCTATTCAAACACAATAAATGTGATTAACTTACTTTTTTTTTAAAGAGGGTTAGAGAAAACCTATTTTCTCGAAAGCTGGCATAATTCTTCTTTTGCCCTCGCAGCATGAATATTCGTGGGGATTATTAGGCAAATTGTATATATATACTTTTATTACTTGAAGACTTGATATACTTTACACTGCACGTTTAGTCGATAGCCGCTATTGGATATGTAATTAGAACCCGCATGCCGGAAATAAAATATTGCCCTTAAATTAAAACCATACTGAGATTGCTTGCTCATTTGAATGCAGTCGAGTGCACATGTAAAAGCCCTAGATATATCGCAATAAAAATGAATCCCTTTGTCGTGTTTATTGGTAATATATGATATTTTAAGGAGTATCAAACATTTTTGAGTGAAGAGTATAGAGTTTGATGGACCTCCCATAAAGGGCTGCAACAACAGTGTGTTCGAATACTGCTTAACAACAGAGCTCACAAAAAACAAAAAGACGACAAACTTTTACGAAATACGCCAAGATATGGACGTTCTAGGCTCTTCGTACAAATTAAATACCTTCTACTTTTGACGACTTGCCCTTGCTCGACATACAATAACGTTCTTAAAATAAAAGTTATAATGGTTGTGTATTCTTTTGTCGCAGTTGGGAATCGTAAGCTTTCATCAGGCGCCGGCCCTTAAAACACGTTTTCTGACAGAGAATAGTTTGACCAACATTGAATTTTACTAAGCCTGTGCCCCAAGAGTGCATACAATGTGTTAACTTACCGGGTGCTTTCCCTGCAGAGCCCTGGAATAAAAATATGCCGAATTAAGACTTTGCGTTACATAAACCGTTCACGCTCTCTTACATAAATGTTTTGCTAACCTGGTGATACATCAAAAATAAAACAGAGGTTCCGCCTTCAAGAAAGTAATACCAATACCACCTAGAACACAAGGCCTGCGCGTTTCCTCCTTTAAACGTCATCACTAGTAGATCCCCTCAGCGCCCCCTAGGCAGCCCGGATGAGTACCATCGTCTGCTACATCGTCTGCTCCATCGCCCGCTCCATCGCCCGCTCCATCGCCTGCTTCAGTGGTCGCGCTCTGACCGAGCTTACATTGCTAAGACCGGCAATCTTGATGATGTCGCATGCACGTCGCAAATGAACTGTGGTAGCTCGTCATTAGCTCGCGCTAAGCAGTCGAGCACGCAGCTGTGGCTACCAGTAAATACGGCGTAGTTCCTCCGAAATCCCATGGGAGCTGCGGCGAACACCTCTAGCGGGCTCGGAGTCTACGTAAGCAGACGCTTTGCGAGCCCCGTTTCGTCACCCTAACAGTTGAAACAATTCGTTACGGTCATTCCGCTCCTGCAACGACAATCAAATAAGAACGCGCGCATAAACAAAGATAGAGCAGTTTATTTAGCGTCTCAAACGCCACCCAGGGGATCACGGAAGAAAGGCGATTAGCTGCTCGAACTACGTCGTAAAAGGTTACTGTTGATCCATTACGCACTGCGTTGTCACAATTTCTTACCTAAATAGGTGATCACTAAAATGTGCGTAAACAATACGTTAAGATTACCAGAGAAAACGCACCAGCCACTGCAACATGACAAACACCAACGAAGTAACGAGAAAAATGATTTTGCAACATTTCGCGAACTTTTCAGAAAAAATGGGGTCCCCTGAGACGAAAATAAAGCGAAATCGGGAACAAGTAGCGAACAACAGCGAATAAAACAAAAAATTAGCAGACGATAGAAAGATACAAATCACCCAGCAAAAAACCTCTTCAACGACGACTATCATTGCAACGCTTATGGAAAACAATGGAAAGCACCAACATTAAAAAGGACCTTCACTTTTTTTTTTTGCAGTTGTTTGTTTAAGCTTAATTTAATTTCTGCAGCCACTTATCTTCTCACGTTTGTTCGGTCTTCGGGAAGCGAAAGAGGGATTTTCTAACACATCAGAAGAACTTGTTTTTGCAGCGATAGGCAGCACATATGACATGCCTGCCATCTCCAAGTATGCGCTGGTGTATGCCCGAAGGCGGCCGGTTGATCAACAAATGATGACCCATAGCAAACGTAACCGCGGACTCAAATAATATCCGAATAGAAATGTATAACGAGCTTCCACTCTTTAACATATATATTAAGTATCAAAAAGTACATATGAAGATTTGGGATAAAAAACTCAATGGAAGACGAAAACAGGTTTTCGCAGACGGCGGTGGAAGAAAAAAACAATGTAGACGGCCCTCAAAATGTCCGGGCACAGCATAGCAGACGGACTGGCGGTGGTAAGTGCCGAAGTGAAGACAAATAAAAAACGTACGCTGATATATCGATGAAGAGCTTTTTATCAAGAATTGCGGAAACGTCTTTCTGGGTCGCTGGGACATTTGATTAAACCAAGTTTTAAAAAAAAGTGGAGGGGGAGAGAGAAAATAATTATCTTTCTCCTGCTTCTTGCCTTCGACAATCAAATGCCCTAATGGCCCGCAGCAACCCTTTTTCAATTTTAAACCAGACAGTTTTAACTCGATAACGGCCTACAAAAACATTTGGGCTTCTGCTTTCATTTGTTAATGAGAGCTGACTTTTAGTGTTCATCCTAAAATAAATATACTTCTTCCTACTATTCCACGCGAACGATTCCAATCCGGTACTAAAGCGTGAATTTGGGATTGCATAATTTTAAAACAGTGTGTCTCAAAACGTTCTTTGTTTAAAATTTATGAAGATACTCCAGAAGGTCGACAGGTTTGATTTTGTGTCATTCAAGGCCGCGATGCAATGGTGACACAAAGCGTAGCAGTGGGAGACTTTTAACAGTCCGCAAAAAACCCGAGAACCTACGCACGTATGAGAATACTCCTGCCCAATGCATGCCGCAACACAAGACACACACCGCTCTTGGGAACGATCCCTTATAAACTAAGGTTGGGTCTTAGCCCCCTCCAACATGACGTCAATCAAGTATAGTTTGGCAAATTTGACGTGTTGCTCCCGAATGTTCTTGAAATATTAACACGTTTTATAATCATTTCTGAAAAACATTTCCTCAGCAGAAGAGAATCATACAACAAATAAACAAATTACCATATAAACAAAAGCTGGGAGTCCTCAAAGATATAAATTGTTAACAGTCAATCACAGAACAAATAGAGGAAGAAATATATCGACAAAAGTTGTATGACATCAAGAGTAGGGCAAATTAAAAAAAAAATAAAATGAATCCTTACTCAGGGTCGAGACCTTTCTTCAGTGCTCTGCTCCGGTTGATTTGCCTCTGACGCTCAGCCAACTCCTTCAGCTGTTTTGTGTACGCCACAAACCAAACAGAACAGTCAATAAATAAATAGTGCTCTGAAAAGAAAACTCAATGCGCCAATGTAAACCACAATAACGGATTACTCCGTTATATTATTAAAAAGTTCAAACACCAACCAAGCCCTTCTATTCACTGAGGGTTCCTATAAAAGGGCTTGGTTGGTGTTTGAACTTTTTATTAATTAATCACTCCCACCCAGACATATCTCTGTCAAATGTGTACTTTTAACTCCGTTATAAAACTCCGCTACACATTCAACAAATTCTAAATGCGTTCTGCCCCAGAGACCTTGAGGAAAGTTATATAACTTGAAATGGAGTATTTATTTATTTTACAATCATAACCAATCATTTTGTGAAATAATCAGCTGCATAAAAGTGTTTATGCACGTTGGTGAAGCTTTTCCACGCTCAGTGTCCTACCCTCTTTCACAATTCGTGCTCGAAGCAATTAGCAGGCCCTATGATGGTGCACGTTATTTTCGTTTTGATAATTTCAGAACGCAAAAGTTTTATCTCAACGTATTAATACACTGGTAAACGTTTGGAGCATCTACGTTTCCGCAAACCCCTTCGAGGAACCAATCACTGTAATCAACACGGGGAGCTTGCGAAGGACAAGGTTTAAAACATATTTATGCTTAATAAAACAGCCAGCGTTGTGGCACTGTGAGTGACGTATTATCATTGTTTTATAGATCTAGAAATATGTTTAGCCTTGTCATTCGCCGAGTTACCCCGTAGCTTGCAGCAATTCACTCTTCCGAGTGCCTTCCATGGAAGAAGACCCACTGTATCTTTCTAATGAATAGCTGCTTATGTACACCTTGACTGATCCTGAAAAAGGCCTTTAGTATTTTTAAATAAATAAATCAAGAGGTAGAGAAGCAGGAGAGCCTCACGTCGTAGTCCTGCCTTTTCTGGCGCTCCTCAAGGTCGTACTTGTCGGACTCGAGGGCGACCACCTTCTCCCAGAGCTTCTTGGCCATGTCCCGCAGCTGCTCGACGGTCAGGCCCTCAATCTCCAAAGGCTTCACACGGAAGGACAGGATGGCCTTCTTGTCCTCCTCCATCTGCTCCTTGGTCTTGCCCATCTCGCCGCGGGCGTACATGATGTTGGCAAACTGCGGCGGACGCCAAAACCTAAGTAGTTAGTTATTACAAACACCGACCTCCTCCTAGCCACTACGCTCGAAGGAATCTTCCGGTTACTTGGTATCAACTCCCTCCCGTCTCTAAGCCGCCTCGTCTGGGCCTCTCCCCTCCGAAATAAAAAGATTGAAGAGCAAAGGTGGTGGTCTTTTGTTTTGTTGTTGTCTTCGTTCTTTTTTTTTCTTTTTCTTAAGTGGGATACTTTTTTAGATTTATAGGACGCCCTTGCTTGCGTCGTATGGGTGAGGAGACCTCCCTATTCCCATTCTAAGACGGGACTAAAGTTTCTAAGAAGTTCATCCACATATAAAAATAAAAATCACGAAGCTTGCTATGCAACCGTTTCACTTTTAATAAAAAGGTGCGGGCAAGGCCGCTTGTAGCCGGGAGAAAGTTGAGACCATATCAATGCCATATTATTTAAAGTGTACTCGAACGTACCCTAGCCTTTTATAACATAACCCTACCACGTGAAAACCCTGAGAATGTTAAGGGCCGAAGTAAGACCATTGCTTGCCATGCTAATGATGTAATTGTGGACAACTGCAAGAGCGAAATTACATGTTTAACCCTGATAATAGTCACCCTGCGCCAGCGATAATTCTGCCATTATGCTGCCTCATGTAGAAGAGGACGCCTAAACCTTAAGAAAAGACGACGACTTCTCGAAAGAAGCAAGAGCAGTAGTTGTGTTAAATTCCGTGGTTTGCTTGAATTAAAAAAAAAAAAACTATTTACTTGATATGCCGCTTGCTGTTGTAATAACTTGAGCTGATAAGTACCCAGAGAAGTACACAATCACATATTTTAAACGTCAGCGCAATAAACATACTCCCATATTGTCTTCACTGTCCGGTCAAAAGCACCCGACCTATCTGTAGTCACACACACAGATTCGTGCTTGACATCTAATGCACTTTTAATGCTAAAATGTACGGATGAAGAAAATAAAACTATACTTTAAAAAAAAGCCCGTGCATCCGCTTTTCCGCACAACCCTCGGAGAGCCAATCACGGCAACTTACGAAGACAGCTCGGTGAATGACGATGCCGAAACATATGTTTAGACCAAAAAACGCAGCCTGAGTTGTGACATTCAGCGATGCAAAACGTCACGCTTTCATTGCTTGATTTTACAACTCAGACTGCGTGTTTTGGTCTAGGCATATGTTTCGGCATCGTCATTCGCCGAGCTGCCTTCGTAAGTTGCCGTGATTGGCTCTCCGATGGTTGTGCGGGAAAGCGGATGTACGGGCTTTTTTTTTAGGGTGATATTTGGTAATTTCATTCTTTCGAAAATTTATATATATATATATATTTTATGAGTAAACATCAATTCAGTCACAAAGCACATAACCGTAGCACTAAAATGAATATTCAAGGTGTAGAGCGCAATGAATTCCTGATCCTCTAAACGCAGGGAGCTCCTACCTTGTCCAAGCCGGAGCTTCCCAGCGCCGAGCCCATTTCGTCTCCCTCGCGCTTGCTGATAACAAAGTTGGGCTTGACGGGTTCCTGCTCCCTCTTCTCCTTGGCCGCCTGCATGGCCTGCCTCTTCTTCTCGGCTTCCTCGAGACGCTTCCGCTTCGCTTCGGCCTCTCGGGATTTCTTCTCTTCCTGAAGTATACAAGAAAGAACAGAATAATAATTGTATAGATGTATTTTGTATTACTAAATTGGCGATGCCGATACTTCCTCTACAGCCCCCACCTCTATCATTAGAAGTCAAGCACTGCGTCCTCACTAGTCACTGAAAAGGGGAAAACGGCGAAGCGTCTTTTTCGAACGCCAGGCCTCCAGCCATAGCCTCCTCTATACTCACAAAGCCTGACATTTCGACGACGGAGCCACAAAGTGCCCGGTCGCAGATTTGGAGAGCGTGGATCTGGTAGCACAGAGCGTCAGAGAGCCGTTTCTCGGCGAACCTGGCCGTCAGCGCACAGCTTTCGCAGCGGCGAGGGCCCGAAACACACTCGTTCGGTCGGAAGAAGTGTGCTTCGGCATCTCGCTGCAGCGGGGTGCCGTAGCTCTCCTTTCGTCCATTGTCTGCCGCTCTACCTTTTCCATTTGTGTTGTCTTTAAGCGTGCGTCGTTTCAGCCCGCACCAGGGTACATAGCATAAAAAAGGCAACCTTGTGTTTTAGAACTTTTTCGCGAAGTCAATTTTTCCAGTGAAATTTTGTTTCTCTATGGCTGCTGCGCATAAAAAAAGATGACATCAGTTTTTTTCATGACACACATGTAGGTGTCAAGAAACACCAAAACTTCGGGTATCGCAATGTACGGTAAAATATGGAGCAGTTTGAATCAATATCGGCGGCCCTGCACGAAAAAGCTAAGTGTAGAAGTATTCAGCTGTTACAATTTTGATGAAAAGCATAAAATTCTGGGTACTATACTTATTTTTACTTCAAGAACCATAGTAAACGAAATCTGGCTACTCGCCGAGCATTACTAACTTCCACCTTTATCTAGAAAATGAAGAGGTATCTAGGTGAATCTTAGATTATGTATGTGTCTTCTTATCAGGACGTGCACGTTTCAAACACCAAAAAATCCTCGCTTCTTCCTCTGACAACACAATGTTGTAAGAACCACTTCGCGCGGCGTGTGAACAATGAGCAGAACTTTCTTTTTTCTTGAGGTGAAAACGGGTACCGGTAGTAGTGAATCGCGTATATCTTGTTCACTGGCCCAATTCATTCTGCCTTTTAAAGGTCTAAGTTAACGCGAAACTTCATGTAAATCTCTTAAACATCAGTTGTGTGCACTGCTGAGTTTACTCTCCCTCAAGCGTGTTTAGACAGAAGAACGTAGTACATTTTAGAAATGGAGGAAGATCAACCTCCAAAGCCTTTATATCTTATTAATGGCGCTTTGTTAAGCAGATCTCGAGATGTTTAATACACTTATGTATAGTAAGCATAAAATTTGTTTTTATTCTTTCGCCTTAAATACGCTAAATTTACTTTAATTATTACAACTGTAAAGGTTAGTCCTTCAATTGAGAGGAGCAAAGGTCTAGTGCAATATCACCCTAAATTAAACTTTTATAGCTCGCTCGCATGTAAGATTTCAATAGTGTCTCTCATTCGCACATTGAACATTACAACGTGATGCAAAACAAGCCGTATCATGTTCGAAAACTATCTGCAAGATTTCTTCAGCGCTCCCTTTTTGTGCACAAATAATGTAAGTATCAGAAGATTAAGGTCTTCGTTCATTTTGAAAGATCGTTTCCGGGGCAGTGAAATGCTTCGAAACCTTGATTTATTTTCACTCTTTAATTCTCTCGGTTAAAGAACGAGGACTTTCATGGGTAATTAGACACATGTAAGCTAGATTCCATAAATGACTCGAGAGTCAAATATTTATTATTGAGCATAAACTTAAATATTTACATCTATAACTTATTAGGGTCACCTAAATGCAGGAGGTTTGAACACGAGTTAAATTATTCACGAAAATGTATAATAAAACAGCTACCACACTTTAAAATATTACAGAATTAATCGATGAGTTTTGTATAAAATGTTTACAGTCTGTATTGTTATATCAATCTGAAAGATTTGAGTTTTTGGAAATTGTTTCGTCGATTTTCTTAAGCAATATAATGTCTAGTTGTAATATGAGCTACGATTCGCGTCTCTGAAACTGCATACGCTACATCTCCACTCTAAAAAAAAAATCCCGTTCGTCTACTTTCCCGCAAAACACTCGGCGAGCCAATCACCGCAACTTACGCAGGCAGTTCAGCGAATGGCGATGCCGAAACATATGTTTAGACCAAAAAACGCAGTCGGAGTTGTGACATTAAGCGATACAAGCGTTACGTTATGCATTGCTTAATGTCACAACTCAGACTGCGTTTTAGGGTCTAAGCATATGTCTCACCATCGTCATTCGCTGAGCTGCCTCCGTAAGTGACGGTAATTGGCTCTTGGAGTGTTGTGCGGGAACGTAGACACACGCGCTTTTTTAAGAGTATAGTTAAGGTCGGGTTATTATATGCATTGTGATCATTCGGTTTCTTGTCAACATACCATTTCTCGAATTCGTTGTTCTTCTTGCTTCCTCTTGTATTCGTTCATCTTGCTTTCTTGTTCAGCACGCTGTAATTTACGCTTGGCCTGAAAAAAGACAGAGGAGACAAGTATAAAAACGACATCAAAACACGTGTCCCAAAAAGCAGATTGAAAAAACAAAATTAGCCACGCTCGAAGAAATAAAAGCCGCAATATTGTGTGAAAGGAACTAAAAAAAGCCACAAAAAAACAAAAATACAAGCACTTTACAAGCTCACTTTGGATTTCTTGATGTCATGCTGTTTTCTAAGAAATATTTTAAGTGTTCGATTTTCTATTAAATGACGTTTCCTTATCGGGATTACTTTCAAAGTTATAGCCGATTTAAAAATGGCTATAATCAGTTGTCAAAATCATGCACTCCAAAAAGATTATAGGGTTTTGCACAAATGTCCCACAACAGTAATACGACTAATATCATTTTGAGCCTGACCTCACATAGTCCATCGTTTTCTGCACTGCTCGTGGGTTTACAATAACGTAAATTTTCCAAAATTACGACCTGAAGGATACAAACAGTTAATATCTGTTTCACATATTTAAGTAAAAATAATTGCGATCTGCGTAAAAACCAAGATAGAGACATCTTTTTAGGCCGATTTGGTTTAAATTTAAAATACTGGAAATGCAAAAGAAAATACAGTATTCACGCAACTGCTCTAGGAGCTACCATTTTACACTCTTTTTTCACATAATATACAATATAGCGTATCTAGTGTAGTTATATAGGAAGCCACATTTCAAAAATTTACTGATCAAGTTGTATTTTTTTTTTAGTACGCGATGTTCCATGTCACACTTGAGCAGCAAACAATTTACTCTCGGGCATTCCTTAAATAAATTAATTGAATTGCATGTTTATACGATGAGTTTACCAGAGCCAGTTTAATATTATTTCATTGTTAGAGACGCCGCATATTCTGCTAAGTAAATAATTGCACTTATCAGTTCAGGTTAGCTATATGAAAGCACACTAGGAGTGTATACTTTTTAGGCCTCCTTTATGCAATCATTAATAATTTTCCTTACCAGACGAGTAAAGCAAGTAGGCTAATATCTTCAAAAGAAATAGTAACACGCCTTATGTTTAAAAATTATACTTTCTTCAGGTAGTTTACTTAGCATTTTCGAAATTACTTACCTGCCGTTCCTTTAATTTTCGTAGCTCTTCCTCCTCCTTGGCGCGTTGTTTCTTGCGCTGCTCCAAGTACTCAGCCCACATTTCCTCCTCCTCCTCCTTCTTTTTGCGGAGTTTCTCCTGAGAATCATTCAGAAATTGAAATGAGTCACTTTATCTTAAAATACTTATCTGCACTACTATTCTTAAAAATAGCGGACAAATTATTTCGAAATGGAGTGATACACAAATTCTTAAATCAACCAGGTTGACATAAAAATCATGTATTCAGTGCCTTTTAATTTTTATTGTTTATTGATGATTGGGTCTCATGAAACATTCACTTGGAATTTGTAGTACATGCGCATCTGCTGTTGCTTAGTTTTAATAAAAGCTATCGAATTGTACAACGGTGTGACTAAACAAACTGATGTGCACGGTTAATAGTATTTTCAACGCATATCTATATATTACCTCCACCATTAAAGGTGTTTAGGTATATTTCGAATACATTCTGGCTTGCAAGATATCTAATCGAAACCAAGGTTAATGCCGTACCGCCATTTTCTTTATTTTAATACTTAGGACAACTTGACGTTTGTTCAATCATCGTGTAGTTGGTTCAACTAAGATAATTTACAATATTCCAGCAGTTCATTTATATCTTTAGCATAACCTGAAGCGCTCCGAGGGCCTTATCGTAGCAAAGTGGTAAAGCCACAAATATTTAAATATACGAAAATATAGATAAAATATGCGAACATTTACACGTAACTATATAAGCAAATGCACAGAAATAATAAAGCATTAATAAGGTCGACTTTTAGAGGGAGACAAACACAAACATGGCAAGGAAGCACTAATTACTATCAGTTTACAAATATCTAAAAACAAGTAATTCGGAAGCAGTAAAACCGAATTACTTGGCAGCCGGTTTAATTATTCAAATGTATGCGGAAAGAAGGAGTTCAAACCGTTACATATACAGCAGAACTATCCAATTTTTCAAAAAGTTATTCGACATTTGCAAAAAAAAAATAGATCGCATTTACAAAATCGTACTTTTATCTATTTTTATTCGTTTAGTATGTGTTCCGTATTCGCTTGAAAGAAATGCATTTTCTATGAAAATGCAATAATTTAAAATTAAGAGAATTTTGTGATGACAATAATACCTCCATACCCATTCTTCCTGAAACAAATGTCGCAGCTTCGTTATGCACTCTTTCATTTTTATCTTGGTTAACGTCTTAATCTTGGCGATTATTTGGGGGTCTTGTATCGTCCTTCTAGACTACTATTTATAAGACATATAGCTACCGCATAGTAGTATTAAATAGGAGCATTAAGTGAACTACCGCTTCAGTGTATTAGAAAATATAACAACGTGAACGAGATTCGAGTATTGATGCTATTCTTATTTTAGTTAACCTTAAAGTGTAACTAAAGAGATTCTTTAGAAAAACAAGTTGGAGGTAAATTAAAAATAATTTTTATCCCGTAACTTTGAATATCAAGTTCGTTTTGCCCGAAGATGTAACTAAATGTCAGAAAACACGAAAAACCTCCGGCCAGTCGTTACGTCATATTAGGATCTCTCGTCCGCCTAGCGCGTGTCACTCGTGTGCCAGCGCGTGCAATCTAAACTTGCCAGGTATATTCCCCCGCACTGATATTAGTCGTGACGTACTTTTCTGACATTTTTCAAGATAGCAAGAATGGCATGCATAGCTTTGACTGGCTCTGAAGATGACCGAGAGTGGGGACTCCTAAAACTCCTAATATGTCGTCACGCTCCGGGAAGGAGGGGTTTCAGCGGTACTTTGAAAATAATTTTCTGCAGGCTCCATGCGCCAAATGTAAATATAATCTCTATATTCGTGATCCTGGAGGCAAATAAAGACGATTTTAGGTGTTTTCCCTAAATACAGAACCGCTTCATTGTCCTTTTAAGTAGACCCTTGAAATGTTACTAGTCAGTCATCAATCAGTGATATATCTAACGTTGTTCTATACCCAAAACTGGAGTTTAAAATTCTCTCTATAGACGTGAAGGTTTCTTACCTCCATGAGCATTTCGGCTTCCGTCATCTTGCTGATTTAGTAGGGTCTCCTGAAAAAAAAAACAGAAGGAAAGAAATAAGGGTTTAATAGGCACAGTCGTACTACATAAAGGTGAGAGAAATACATTTATCAAAGCCTCTGGTTTAATACATTTATTCATGCTTTGTTCTGCTAACTTTAAGTTTTGGAACTCATACGGACCTGAAACTCCTTCAATGCCTTGTGCACTCGACAATTGAAAGCTAGACATTTTCAAGCGACAGCTTCCAAAGTTACGACGGCTACAATTACGTTGCTTTGTTTTCGTCAACATCTAACAACAAGCGAAATGTTTTTTTTTTTTTTTTTTTTTTTTAAGTTACAAGAATGTCTCCCCACGTAAAAGGTATGAATACACCAATAATATATTTTTTTATGGAATTACTAAAAGAAACTATCTTAGAGCTGTCAGGAGCGGGTTTAAGGTCCCCTTGCCGCACCGCACCAGAACACCTTTTTTCCACGCCCTTCACGCGCCCTCTAAAAGTGAAGGCATTTCCGCAGAGACGCATTTTCTTTTACGATGAAAAAAAATATATATTACTCGAAAGGGTGGTGCTGAAAATCTGTAGCGATAGGTCTATGTAAAACCTTTTTTTTATGTCCTTAAAGGCGTGAAGCCTTCTGGTTTGTATATATAGGGTGTTTGCTTTCAATACATATAGATATGCTTAACAATAGACATTCATTATATAGATGGCGCCTTCGTTGAGAACTAATCGGTTCACGTGGGTATTACTAGTTTGGATACCGTTCCAGTTGGTTCGCTAATCAACTAAACATCCTTAATTACCATTCATATATTTGTTCTCAAGCTACGTTTAATCCCACATTCTCGAGGTTCTCATTATGCCCTAGAGGTGCTTTGTAATTTTTATTTATATTTTTGCATTTAATGCTATCTGGTACTTCAATGATTGACCTTTAGACAATAGGCCAATTGGCTCGTCATATTTGCTCTAAGCATTGCACATGGCACGAGGAGATTATCCAATTACTTGTATGTGGTTTGATTAAAACATGTTCAGTGTTCTCATATGACTCTGGTATTACGAGACTCAAAAAGCTTTACGACGCATGCTCACGATACAAAACTGGAGGACTTAAAGAAGACGTCTCCATCGACGGCAAGCTATAACGAATGTAAAACGCAACGAACCGCAACAAACACCGTGACGTATCGGAGCGCTTTTATTTGTCACATCTGGTCACGGCCCAACACTACCGACAATATTCAAAGCCCGAGAACAGGCTCCTCTCGAACATCCTCCTCGATTATTTCGTAACGTAATCACGCTAGTATGGCATTCGCTCAGCCATTCGGCCCGAGCCCTACGCCGCATCGTCCTTCGCCACATTGACCGGACAGAGAGACCCAGCCAGAGGCTGACCCAGCAGTCCCGTCTGATCTGTGTCGGCGCTCGATATCACTGGGATGATGTTTAAGCGCTATTCGTACTCCGTTTCACATTAATTCCGATCGCAGTCAACGCTATACGGAGAGAAAGTCGTCTGCTTCCTGCCCAGGGGTGCGGTGACGTAAGAACATCGCCGCGTCCTGATTGGCTTTCATTGAAAGGATGGTGGGAGACCTCAATGCTGGATGCCTGAACGTCTACCCACGATTTTTTTGTTTTGTTCGATCGGCCAATAAAAGCTCGCCGTTCTGACGTCATCGAAACCCCTGCGCAAGAAGCTGACGAACTTGCGCTTAGCACAGGATCCGATGGAGACAATCAACAGCGCCAAGGGTGCATCGTAACGGCGCCCTGGGTCTTTGTGCATTTGCAATCACCGACTTGAGACCAATCACGCGCAGAGAACTGCGCAGACTCCCGCCGCATAAGCTGCGTGTGACCGGTCTGCTATGGGATGGCAAACGCATAGAGCCGACGAGCGCCATGAGGCTGCTCTTTTCGCTCTGTTTGATTAACTTCATTTGATTCGTAGCTTCGACTGCGGTCGGAATTGATGTGAAGCGGAGCGTGGTGGCGCGAGCTTTGGCTCCTCCAGTTGCCGTTTCCTCGCTTAGAATTAGCTGTTGTCACATCACCGTCTGGGCGTCATCGCCATCGAGATCGAGAGCAACTCCTCCCAGTCCAGTTTTAAATGAATGCGGCATGAAACCAGATCGTGTTTGGTTCATACCTAAAGTCATATTGTGTTTGATTTTTTATTTGCGAAAATCAATATCTATTAGGTAATTTTGCGAACTTCATAACGGAAGTTGCAGCGCGATCTTTTTAAGGACCAATACAAATATAAAGTTTGAGTTAACTCCATGCACAACGAACAGGAGAAGCTTCGCATTTGACGCGTTACCCGGTAATAGCAATCACTCTTTATATGTATTTTAACTGGGTATTTAGGGGAAAAAAAGCTTTCATTTATTTCTAATCATGACTTTGTAGTGAAAGGAAGCAAAACTCCGTATAAGTCGTGACTAATTCATAGCCTAGGCATACCCAATGAACGCCGGCGCAAAGTTTCCTTTCAAACTAATACATTTATGTTAAGCAGATTATGCTGTCATACTTTCTTGCTCGAAAACCTAATAGGCTTTAACGTATTCCTTTTCTGACGTACCTCAAGTATATTACTGTGCTACAGTATGATTTCAGTACCTGCAAACAACGGGATAAATGTTCTAATAATAAAAACAAATTTACCATCGCTATTCATTCTGCCTTAAACAAATCCGGTGCTCCGGGAGAAACTCGTTTCATAATGATATACAATATGCATGCATCAATTCATGCAAAACAGTTACAAACTTAACTAGTATTTTATTTTATTTTATTTTTCTCTCGTTTGTAAACGTTATTTAGAAGGGCCCATTATAAACCGACTGAGACTTGCGTATCTACGCTTTTAAATATGGATACGATGATCGTGCGCCGTTGTGCGCTGCTAGTAGCTTATGCAAGTTATTAGTCTTGATCTGAACAGTATGAGAAAACGTCATGTGGCCAGGATTGCGTCTGACCATTCTAACTACTAAAATGATGTTTGTGTTTGTTTTTTTTTTATGAGGGGGGCGAAAGGAGGGCTAGACTTCGGTAAAATGAAGTTCACAACTGTGCGCCGAGAGTCAAAGTTTTCGTCGTTATATTTTTGTTCATAGTGCCTACCATTAGCCAATAAGGTTATATGCCTACCTGCTTCAGACTGACTCAGTTATCATTGTTGTCTTGAGTAGATTATTCGTTTATTTTGTTGTTATCGAACAAGTGGCTACCCTAACTGTTTCTTCCAACTGCTTTCATCCGCATTGACCTCAAGAGCATAAAAAAAAAAAAGTCTGCGAGTGCAATATTTTGGAAAACATTGGGAAGGCCAGTCATTGCGAACTATAAAAGGCTACCAGCCAATGATGAAGCTGAGAATACGGTTAGTTTAGAAAATATACGCGCGGGAACGAGCAATGCTCATTGTCTCTGCACGCATCGCAATCTTTTCTGTTTTGTTTGTTTGTCTCGTTGATATATGGGCTTTGTTATTCTCAGGGATCACTTCAATAGTTTGTAGCGATTGGCTGGCCCACTGCTGTTCAAGTAAAAGTGAGCTCACACGCATTTTTCTTTTTTTACACCGAAGGGTCTCCGACGGACAGACGACGAGCGACTAGAATACCGTCACGTTCTTTGCGTGGCTGGACGAAGCGTGTTTTTATGAGGGCGAGTGGAGGTGGGGTTCCAGTCATGCGGCTCGCACTTATGCGTCGAAAGCAGGGAAGCAAGCAGAGAAGAGAAACGGGATCCCAGGACCATAACGGGGGTTCCGCCCAGCGTCCGCCGACCCAGGTTATTTCGAGAGCCCTGTTTCCAGCCCTTAGCTCTTCGGCGACTCTGCGGCTTGGCTCTCATCCCGACTCCGTTCCAGAGGCCGAGAGCCTCGTCCGCCTTTGTGGGCCCACGAAAAGGCCCACTGCCGTTCTCCGTCGACTTTGAGCTTCGTCCGGTTCGTCGGAAATCCATGCCTCAGCTTTTGCATCGCTTCGAACCTAACTATACTTCGTTTCAGCTTCGGTCCGAGCGTGGCCGATGTTATGAGCTGAAGGGCGAATAAAACAGCGCAAAAAGCGCAGTGTCATGGCTGCTCTCGGCGTGTGACTGGACTAACCGGCGGAGGAGCATGCACAAAAAGACGGCGAATACCGGCTGGTCCTATCAACTGCAAAGAGCACGCCATGACGTTGTGCCTCTTTCGCTGTCTGATTGGCCCTTCGGCTCATAACGTCGGCCGCGCTCGGACCGAAGCTGAAACGAAGTATAGGTTCTTGTTTTCTCGTTTACAGCCTCAAAAATCCTCCCCAGTACGGTGACTAGTCATATCAGTAGCAAATTGGCCGTTTCCATAATGTAACGGGCTTTGTAACTACAGGAGTGGCAATGGGTTTTCGCTGCGTCATTCTAGAGTAACGGGCTGCGAAAATTATAAATTTGCAAGTTGTCGAGATTGCTGCTCTTTTCATCTCTGAAACCAACAAAATTTCCAAGGTTAGTGTCGGACGTTCAGGCAAAATGATTATCTTATTTTTCCAAACTAGAGCTGAAAACGCATCCAACTTAATAAAGCCTTATTTAACGAGCATCACGTTGTGTCTACACGCACATATTTGCATAATCGTGCCGTTTTTGATTGTCACATTTATTTTCGCAATCATTTATTTTTGTACCGACCAGACCGTCTCTTGTTTAGACACTAAAGGGAATATTTCAGGCTACTGATTATCAGCTAATACGAAACTGCAAAAGGTTAAAAACACCCAAAAAGGGGTCGTACGCCGGACAAGAAGCACAGCAGAAAAATAGCTAAAATCACGCTGCAGCCAATTGCCGCATCGGGACCCGTGGCATCAAAAACGAGTACCATTTGTAGCAAAAAAAAAAAACCCGAAAAAAAAAATGATATAACTTGTTTTAGACAAACAGACGCGACTTAGCTTTTCACACTACACTCCGTTTAACCTTATAATAGCCCACAGTTGTCCCAACCAATCCGGCGCTG